CAGATGGCTGTGAGCCACCATGTGGTTGCTGGGAATTGAACTCAGGACCTCTGGAAGAGCAGCCAGTGATCTTAACCCCTGAGCCATCTCTCCAGCCCAATTTTAGGTTTTTTGAGACAGGGTTTCACTGAATTGTAACCCTTGCCATCCTGAGACTCACCTTTAGATCAGGCTGGCCTTGAACTCACAGAGATCCTCCTGCCTCTGCCTCCTGAGCGCTTGGGTTAAAAGTGTGTGCTACCACCACCACTGGACTCTGTGATGTCTTTTTAATTTATTTTTGGTTTCCTCCTGCATCTCTAGTTTAGGGGATATTTTTTGAGTCATTAGACTTTTGAAGTGATTAAGAATTTCATAAAGTATTTTTCAACTGGAGATTCTGGTTAATTAAATCATTGATTGTAGGTACTGGAGTAATGAAAATGCTTACGCATGGGGAAAAACAGTATTTATCCTAACGTGTTTCACGGTAATATTTCATACAGCCAGTTGTGGTGGGAATGGAATTAGATCTCTTTCAGGAAGAAGAAATTGTAGTTACCTTTCCCATCTTTCCTGTTTATCTCCATCCCCATTTCACAGATTACCTATCTTTGGTTCAAGCATCAGGTCAAAGGCAGTAGGTGGTGATACAGAAACAGCTATTTCAAAGAATTGGCTCTGTGTAGTTCTGTCTGTCCTGGAACTTACTCTGTAGACCAGGCTGGCCTTAAACCCAGAGACTCTGCTGCCTCTGCCTCCCAAGTGCTGGGATTAAAAGTGTGGGCCACCACTGCTCAGCTATGGGTTCTTCTGTATGCATGTTAAGAAAAGTGAGTGTCAGCTTTCCATTCCTGTAGCAAGCTTGTGAGGTATTAATTTAGTAAAAAGAAGGTTTAGTTTGGCCTTTGGAGACAGCCTGATGTCAGTGCTGGGAAGTGAACTCAGGTCCTCTGGAAGAGCAGAAAATGTTCTAACTACTGAATGATCTCTTTCAGATCTTTATAGATAGATTTATTTATTTTTATTTTATGTGTGTAAGTTTTCCGTGTACCATGTGTGTGTCTGGTGCCCTTGGAGACTAGAGGAGAGTATTGGATCCCTTTATGCATGGTGTGAGCTTCCATGTTGGTTCTGGGAATTGAACCTGGATCCTCTGGAAGAACAGCCAGTCCTCTTAACCACTGAGTCATCTCTCTAACCCTAATTTACTTATTCTTAAAGATTTATTTTTAATTATGTGTATGTGTAGGTATATACATGAAAGTAAAGTACCCTCCAAGGCTAGAGGCATCATATCTCCTTGGAGCTGCAGTTATGGGTGATTACCCACCATGGGTGCTGAGAATCAAATTTAGATCCTCCATAAAAGTAGTACGTATTTGTAATTGCTGAACCATTTTTCTAGTCCTTCCACTTTGTTCAGTGAGACAAGAACTTAACATTTTAGCTAGTTAAAATGGCTGGTCAGTGGGTCCCTAGGGTCTGCCTGTCTCCACCCTGCTAGTGTTGGGTTTACAAGCATATGCTGCCATGCTCGGATTTTATGTGCATCATTGACTTCATCCACTGAGCCCTCTCCCCAGCCATCTATGATATGCCTATATGCAACTGTGTTTGGGTTTAGATTCTACACTTATGTACAGATGGATTTTGATAGATGGTTTACTTTGTCATTGCATTGAATAAAAGATTTGACATTAGCTGAGCATGGTGGTGGCACATGTCTTTAATCCCAGCATGGGAGGCAGCTCTCTGTGAGTTCAAAGTCAACTTAATCTAAAAAGTGAGTTCCAGGACAGTTAGGGAAGTTACACAGAAAAACCCTGTCTTGGGGCTGGTGAGATGGCTCAGTGGTTAAGAGCACTAACTGCTCTTCCAGAGGACCTGGGTTCAATTCCTGGCACCCACATGGCAGCTTGCAGCTGTCTGTAACTCCAGTTCCAGAGAATCTGACATCATTATACCAATGTGCATAAAATAAAGTTAAAAAAAGAAAAGAAAAGAAAAACCCTGTCTTAGAAAACCAGCAAAAAAAGATTGACATGAAGTTGTATGTTATTGAGACAGGTTCACATGTAGACCAGGCTGGTCTCAAACTCACAACATGGCCTTACTCAACGCAAACATGAGTTCTGATCTCTCTACCCTCTTTCACAAATGCTGGCATTAGTATAAGTGTGCACAATCATGTCCACCTGCAGTTTTATCTTTTTGTTGCTTTTTCTTTCCCATCTAGGTTCAAAGCTGAAGGAGGTCTTTGAAAAGATCCATAGCCTGCTCTCTGGAAAGCCCGTCCAATCTGGTGGGCGTTCTGTGTCTGTCACTCTTAGCCCACAAGGGTTGGACTTTGTCCAGTACAAACTGGCAGAGAAATTTGTGGTGAGAAACCTTGTTGTCAGGGGTATGGGCAGAAGAAGCTGGTGGGCAGTGTTGAGCCTTGCTGGGATATTAACTTAAAATTGTGTCCATATTTGTGTTCCTAGAAACAAGGTGAGGAGGAAGTGGCCTCTCACCATGAAGCAGCATTCCCCATTGCAGTGGTGGCATCTGGTATCTGGGCGCTCCACCCTAAAGTGGGGGAACTTATCCTTGCTCATCTCCACAAGAAGTGTCCCTACTCCGTTCCTTTCTACCCAGCTTTTAAGGAGGGGATGGCTTTGGAGGACTATCAGCGGTGAGGTTATTTTCTCTTCTCTCATTCACTCTAGGGAGAGTAGGAGAATATAAACATCTGAGTTTATTTCCAGTCTTTCTCACAGCTCCTTCTCTGTACTTTAAATGTCCTACCAGAAACAAAATGTCTTGAACCATGATTGGTATTGTATATCTGTAATCCCAGGATTTGGGAGGTTAGCCCGGGCTACATAGCAAGAACACTATCTCACAAAAAGGGGGGAAACTAATGTCTTTTACACAAACTAGACATCTTTTGGGATTTGTAGATTTGGGGTGGTGATAATTGATAAACACTATTGCTCACTGGAATGAATACTGGATCTAGAATCCTAAGTCTTAGAATTTATTCATCTTACAGCTTTGCAAAATAGGGTCATTTAGATCTCATTGAGAAGCTATCTTAGCTAGGGTTACTACTGCTGTGATGAAACACCATAAGCAAAAGTGACTTGGGAGGAAAGGGTTTCTTTCACTCCCACTTCTGTATCACGGTTCTTCATGGAAAATAGGCAGAGCAGGAGCTCAAGCAGGACCAAAACCTGGAGGCAGAAGCCAATGCAGAGGGTTTGGAGGGTTGCTGTTTACTGGCTTGCTCCTCATGGTTTCTCCACTTGCTTTCTCACAGCACCCAGGACCATAAAAAAAAATGCCCGACAGGCTTCCCTATAGCTTTTTATAGAGGTATTTTCTCAATTGAGGTTCCTTTGTCTCAGATGACTCTTGCTTGTGTCAGGTTGTCAAAACTAGCCACCACCTAGGCAGTTTCCTTATTTCTGAGTTCACTGGTGAGTTTGCTTTGCAGAGCTAAATTTTATAGATAGAAATTTGAGCATCATGCTTTGTTCAGATAAAATAATGGTAATAATAATGCAAAGTGCAACTAGTAGTACCTTAAGCCATAAAAAGAAGCCTCTTTGTCACCCTCGTTTTGGCCTCATCATTCTGAATTTTATCTTCACACATAGGATGCTTGGCTACCAAGTGACGGATTCTAAGGTGGAGCAACAGGACAACTTTCTAAAACGAATGTCTGGGATGATCCGTCTGTATGCTGCCATCATCCAGCTCCAGTGGCCATATGGAAACCGGCAAGAGGTAGGTAAACAGCCTGGTATTGATAGGAGTCGTAGCCCAGCACCCACAGCAACTGCAGCCTTTGTGTATTACTGAGATAGTCAGCTTACAGGGAGGAAGCTTCTCCTTTGCTGAGCCTATGCATGGATTAGGATATTTGGGAGAGCTTCCAGTCTCACACTAGGTCCAGTTGCCTTTGGAGCCATGGTGAGGCAAAGCATGGGCGGAGCAAAGCTGCTTATGGCAGTTGGCTCGTGAAAGATGCAAAATCTTTTGTTTGTATGTGGGTGTCTCAGTATCCCCTTCAAGGGTATGTCCACAGTGACCTAACTTGGACTCCACTTCTTAAAGATTCCACACTTTGGGGTTGGAGAGATGGCTCAATCGCTAAGAGCATTACCTGCTATTCCAAAGGTCCTGAGTTCAGTTCCCAGCAACCACACGGTGGCTCACAACCATCTGTAATGAGGTCTGGTGCCCTCTTCTGGCCTGTGGGCATATACACAGACAGAATATTGTATATATAATAAATAAATATTTAAAAAATATTTTCAAAAATAAAAAAATACCACACTTTCCAGTAGAGCCCACAGGCTGGTGACCAAGCCTGTCAGCAGGTCTTTGAGGGCTCTTGCAAGCTGTTCTTCAGAGAGGCTGTGCTGTGGAATGATGGGTAAAGACTGTGGTATTTTAGAGAAGTGGGTATTGATTCTTAGGCAGCTTTTTTGAATCAACAAGAAAGTTCAGTTGCTGCCTCAGCTGAGGCCATAAAGAGCTAATCTTAGAACAGAGTCCACAAGTCATAGCATTTACAAAAGTTTCAGCCAGCTGTGCTGTGCCGCCTGTAATTCCAGCACAGGAAGCTGTGGCAGAAGGATTGCAAGTTCCAGATCAATTGGGCTGCAAAGTGAGACCCTGTCACTGCAGTACCAGAATCCGACAAAAAATCAGGTGTTGGGGACATAGTGACACACCTTTATTGCCAGCATTTAGGAAGCAGGGACAGTGAGTTCAATGGCAGCTTTGTCTACATATATATTCCAGGCTACCCAATGTTAATGAGACCCTCTCTCCAAACAAAGATACCAAAAAACAACCCCAAAGTTAAAATCAACAACAACAAAGTCAGACAAGATGGTTTACCTTTACACTCCCACCATGGCAGAGTGGGCCAGGGAGGATTGCCATGAGTTTGAGGCCAGCCTGGGCTACAAAGTTAATACTGCATCTGAAACAAACTGCAAGTTCCCTGAACATGAAACTGATGTGTACATATCAAAGGAACCATGTAAGAAATTTGTGGAAGCCTGCATATGGATCAGAGTATTTCACTGAGCCAGGTGGTGGTGGCCTATGCATTTAATCCCAGCGCTCAGGAGGCAGAGGCAGGTAGATCTCTGTGAATTTGAGGTCAACCATGTCTATAGAGCGAAATCCAGAACAGCCCAGACTGTTACGCAGAGAAACCCTACGTAAGGTTCCTTAGCTTAGTTCTTTCTATTCTGTCATGCATGCATGGGTTCATGTCTAATGGCTGAGTGATCACATGGAGTTTATTCTGTGAATAAAATGAGATGAAGTCATGACACAGTTGCTTTCCTTCCAGGCTCATCCTCATGGCTTAAATCATGGCTGGCGCTGGTTGGCACAGATCTTAAACATGGAGCCTCTATCAGATGTGACAGCCACTCTCCTGTTTGACTTCTTGGAGGTAATTCCGTTATGAAATGAGAGACAGCCAGTGGTTGAGGTGGCTTCTGACATGGGGTAAAATGAGTGGGGAAGCAGCCTAGAGGTGGAGCCAAGTAGTGAACAGCTCAGGCTGCTGTCACCAGCATGAGGCACGAGACAGGCCTCGCTTCCACTTTCCCTCTCACTGTCCTTGACTTCTCTGTCGACCATGTTCTTCTCTCGTTATAATGTCTCGCGGTCCACAGGTAAGGGAAACACTTCAAGTGGAGGGAAGAATGAAATTCATTTCAGCCCGGTACTGGGCCAGAACTTCTTGGAATGTGACATTAGCTTATATATTTTTGCCATATGTAAGCAGAGCACATGTTTGGAAAAATCTTCTCAGATAACAACATAGCTCTGTGAGTCCAACATACTTAAGACACATTTACAATAAAACTCCTTACAAAGTTCATATGGCTTCATCCCTGAAATGGGTTCTTGTTGGCTTGGAAACAGTTCTCAAGATAAAGGTCTAGGGAGAATGACTGAGGTAAACATAACATCCGTGGGAGTCAGGATTGGCCTGGGGCGAAGACAAAATAGAAGTCACATAGGCTGTTGTGAAGCACAAATTATACCTCCAACAAGGATGGTTTTATGAGCTGAGAAGCAGTGCTCAAGGTTTAGGGGGAAAGGGCCTGGGATAAGTAAAACAAATTTTGTAAGATACAGGCTGAGGCTGGCTCATCAGACAGCAAAGGATCACCAGGTTGTAAACTACATCCAGGAGGAGGGCAGGTTAAAGTCTCTTTCCAGCTGGGCGGTGGAGGTGCAAAAGCAAACAGATCTCTTGAGTTTGAGGCTAGCCTGGTCTATAGGAACTAGTTCTAAGACAGCCAGGACTATTACACACATAGAGAAACCCTGTTTTTTGTTTGTTTGTTTGTTTGTTTTTTGTTTTTTTGTTTTGGTTTTTGGTTTTTGGAGACAGGGTTTCTCTGTGGCTTTGGAGCCTGTCCTGGCACTAGCTCTGTAGACCAGGCTGGTCTCGAACTCACAGAGATCCGCCTGCCTCTGCCTTCCGAGTGCTGGGATTAAAGGCGTGAGCTGAGAAACCCTGTTTTGAAAAATAAAAAACAAACAAACAAAATCCTCTTTCCTTTGAAGGATGCCTGTGAGTTTAACTATCCTGGCCTCTCTTTTACTGATCTGTGTACACAAGTACTTTCTGCCCTCTGCATGTCCTAGCCTAAGTAAAAAAGTAGACTTCATCTTAGGGATATTGAATTGAGTAGTGGAACTATGGTAGGCTGTGCAAGTGAGTCTCTTGAGACACTGGAAACAGGAGCTGGATCTCCCTGGGTCTAGTCTTCCATAAACGTTCTTTCTCCTTGCCTCCTCGTGCTCTGTAAGGGTGCCAGCCATCCTGTGCTGTCACCCAGTCTCAGGTTGGTTACCCATTGTGGAGGGATCCTTACCCACTGTTCTATTCCTACTTTCTGGGGAGAAAATGTAACCTCTCTAAAAGCTCATATATTCCTGCCCTTAGAAACAACCACTATAGGGGCTGGAGAGATGACCTCAGAGGTTAAGAGCATTGCCTGCTCTTCCAAAGGTTCTGAGTT